TTTTTATTAGTTTTTGTATATCTTTATCCTTTGTTCAATACGATCTTACACATTTCGGGTTTAAACTTTTCGTGGGGAACAAGTGCAACAGCTTACATGACGTATTTCAAATTTAACCGCTGTGCTATAAACTTGTGTGTTCGACCCTCGACGAACGCCTTCGATATAGCGTCACCCGCCCACGAAAGACATGCGGAAATTTGCCCTAGGGTTGGGTTTCACGGAAACAAGGAAACGAATCATTGTTACCTGTTTCTTAGAGTTTTGGCGCTTCGTTGTCGGGTAGCTATAAATCAAAGGCTTTTCGATTTATGTTATCAACTTAATTCGGTAGATACGATCCTGTCTACTCAGGGTAAGCGTTGATGGCTCTTAACTGAAATGGAAGTTTACCAACATCGAAGTGAGTATTAATTTTTAAGTATACAATAGAGAAATGAAAAATAAGGAATTATCAATCTTTTTTCAATTTTAGTTTATTTAGTTATTAGAAAAGCTAAATACGTATCTTTTAACAAATTTTCAGTTTATTAGGGTTTTTCGTCTCGTGATGAAGCGAGGTTGGATTTCTAAGCTTTCTTGTGACACAAAATAAGATGGCGGCCGAGAATTCTTTCACATAGGTGAAAAAAAAGTGAGTTATCCGCTGAGAATTCGCAATATGAAAAGGCCTTGTATGAGAATAAGTACTCAAATAGATGTTTATGAGCCCCTAGAAGATGACTAAAGGCTTTTTATGGCAAAACTCGATGTTAACTTCGGGCCGCCATATTTTGTGCTTCCCAGAAACCAGAGTTAATAGAGGGAACTGGTTATGAAAGCCGGCGAACTTCAGACGAGGAACTCTTTGTTTACTTTTTTTTGGTATGTCACGTGATTATGAAGGTGCACACATTTGATTCAAAGATGGCGGCTAGTATGTGAGTCTCACGAATGATCGTATTTTATCTCGATTTTTTGAAAATATTTCGACTTTTAGAGTTTGATTTGGCTATGAATATAGTCTTTTAACATGCCTGGTGTAAATTGTACGGTTTTTGGATGTGGTTCTTGTAGAAGAACCAAAGGAATCGGCATTTTCAAGTTGCCCTTAGCGAAAGATGAAAATCACAAGAGATGGCGCAACGAGTGGCTTGGTGTACTCAAGAAAACAAGGGAAATGGATAAAGATTTTAAAAGACAGATAGATGAAGACAAACTCTACACTTTCGAAAAGCATTTTTTGTCCGAAGATATTGAAATATGTAAGTATTTTTCGATAACTTTTGCTATGGAACGATACGATTGCTGAGCGTAATGTGCGTAGCGTTGCCAAGCTACTAAGATATAAACAAACAGCTTTTTCTTTCGTAGAGAGTCAGGTTTAAGACTTTGTCTGCCTAAATGTCAGAAGTCTTACTGAGCACCAGCGAAAACGAAAGCCATTCCTGGCACCTTACAGGTCTACTCAAGATTGATGGTAAGTCTTGCTTGAACTATTGGTATAATCATAACTTGTTGTTTAGTGCTCAAATTGTCTATCATAAGACTCAATTTATAATAACCTGTTAATTTGATTTTAAGAGCAAAATTACATTTTTATCACTATTATTTTCATGTAAATACTCTTGCCTACAAGTCTGTCATTCAAGTTTAAGAACACAGACTGTATTGATAAATTGCTATGCATTTGAACACAAGTAATTTTTTAATTTATATTTATAGGTTTGGCTTTTTGATGGAATTCCTGCAGTATCTTCAGAGCTGGAAGGAGAGCACTGAAAACCGAGAGGGTGAGTTTACCCAAAATGCAAGATCCAGGATGTTCCTCTCTTGGCAGACATACGAAGGCTTCCAGATTTCTGCAAGGTCTACAATCGAGTGCACCAGGTTTCTTCTTTCAGAGGGGATGGAGTATGTCCTGACAGAAAGGTTCTGTCAAGATCCTGTGGAAGAATATTTTGGAAAGCAGAGGCAGTTTGGCCGGTCCACA